ATTAATTACTCTGGTGATTTTTACAAGCCCTTTTCCTAATATCTGAATTTATTAACTCGAGATTATCTTATCTCTATAATCTTGCAAGCTCTTATATCTTTTTATCTATCAGTTTTTCCTGCATATAATTTGGGCTTTGATATCCTCACTTTTGTATTTCTGTCAATTCAATCTCATTTGCTTTTTGTCTTCCAGCAACTTTTCAGCATTTCCATACTATATTTCTGATTGCCGAATTTGGTCTTTTTATCATTGTTTTAGATATATCCCCCCCTTCTTGTACATTTCATCATTCAAGGAGTTGCAGATTGGAATTACTGTCCTTGAATCATCATTCTCTGATCTGGTCATTCATTTTAAGGGCAGCTCAATATTCCATCTTGGTAAATAAATCATAATTTATGCAAGGTAGTTTCAATTTTTATAAATAATGTGATAAATATTAACTCTTTAACACAGTTTGGATTATTTCCTTAGGAAATATTCACCAAAATAAGAAGTCTGTCTTTGGGTGTTAACAAAGTGGAAAAATTTACTCTACCAGGCATGAAGACACATTATAAAGCTATGGTAATCAGTAAAGTATGGCATTGTCAAATAGAAACAAATCTGGATTTAGGTAAGAAAAGACTTTATTTGAAAAGATTGTTGCAAGATGGGGAGGGGAACTTTTGAAATTGAATGTCTTGATCAGGAGATCTGCAAACATCTGAAAGATCAGGCAGAAAAGGGCTTTTCTGTTATAGAGAGAAGTAAGCGAGGTTCGGAGATTATTTTTCTTTCTGTTAAGGAGAAAGCTGTAATACACGGTCAAGTCAGCTAACAACTTTGTTCTGATGGATCAATGGGTCAATGGGGATAAACAGTTCAGCCAACCCTCTATGACACAAAGCATGAGAATTTGGAGGGAGCATGTCTGGCCTTTGTTACTACAAAGTAAAGAACTGACTTTTCCATGGTGCCTGAAAGGCAAAGTGACTTGCCTCACCTCACTTTTCTTAGAGAACTTATATTAATAATTATAAATTCCCTCTCTGTTCCTTGGAGATACATGTAAATCTTTTTAAAGCTAAATAAGCCTCTTGCCAGTTTTACAAACCAGGAATGTTTTTCTTAAGTTTTCTGGTGCCATCTCTTTTAAATGTAAACATCAAGAAAGACAGCATCCCTATCTCCCAGTCTCTGTGGCAATTTAGCCTAGGCACCTGACTCCAAGTTGTAACCGCCTCTTGACACAGAGATATGAGAAGTTTTATTTTTTTCTTTGTATAAATGAAATTAACTATCACAGATGATACCTCAATTATCAGGTGAATTTAGGATGAACTATGTGGTAAACGGTGCTGTCAAGTCAAACTGATGGGAAGGTGTATCTATGAGTATTATCTAAGTCATATGAGGAAGTGTAGTTCTTTGTAATAAGCAGTTTCCCAGAAGGAGAAGCGTGAGGGGTTTCTTTAACTGCCCCTGTTTTCCAGGACTATAGAACTCAGGTAGAGTTCAACATTGTCAGTACTGACACAAAAATAAACAAAGAGATCAAATGAGCAAAAAAGAGCCAAGAAGTAGATCTATAAATATACATACTTGGGTTATGACAAAGGCAGCAGTATGAAACAGTATGAAAAGTTGAATGTTTTCAATAATTGGTGCAAGTTGACTGACTACATGTTTGGAAGAAAACACTCACCTACATCTTGTACCATGCACAAAAATTAGTTCCAGGTAGATTACAGTTCTCAATGTGAAAAGTAAAATAATACAACCTTTAGAAGACAACATAAAAAACTAACTTCATTACCTTGGTGAGAGTTAAAGATTATGAACATTATTCATAATTATAGAGACTTAAGAAAGTGAACTGCATTAAAATTAAAAACATGTATTTCTCAAAAGAAACCATTAAAAAAGGGAAGCAAAAGTAAGAAAAGATCAGTAAAATATATAATAAATAAAGGACTTCTACAAAGAATACATAAATAGCTTCTATAAATCAGCCAGGGAAGACCTAATGGAAAACAAGCCAGAGACTTTAGCAGGCACAAACTGCACATCTAAATGCTCAATAAACATATACAAGGAGATCAATCTTATTTATATCAGGGAAATAAAAATTAAAAACATAACAACACATACACAGAGAATTTCCAAAGTAATGAAAATGAATGAACAAAAGTTCATACAAAAGCTAAAATGATCATCCAAATAAATGTTGAGTTGAAGAAGCCAGACTCAAAAGAATACATACTACGTGGTTCTATTTTTATAAAGTTTAAAAACAAACCAGACTAACTAATCTCTGCTGTTAGAAGCTAGTCTACCGTGCCGAGGAGAAAGGGAATAGTGATTGAGAGGAAGTGCTAGGGTTTCTGCATGGCTAGGGATGTTTTCTCTTTTGATTTGGTGGGGGTCACATGGCTGTATTTTGTGACAATTATGACTTGTGGACCCATCTCTATTTACATTACTCATCAATTAAAAACGAAAAAAAAGATAGATAATTTCTGGTATTGGGAAAAATATGTGGAAAACCAAGGACTCTCATATGTTGTTACTAGGACTCTAAGTTAATACATCTTTTTGTAAAGGGTGATAGTGTAATATATATATATAAATTTAATTATGCTTCCAGAAATTTTACATTTGGTATCTGCACAAAAATTACATTTATGCTAAAATTTGTAAATACCAGCTTGCAAATGGCAGAATTGTTTATAATGTCAGGAAAGTTGGAAAAAACCTCAGTAGTGATCAGAAGTGAAAACATTTAATAGAATCATGTTACATATATGCCTGGAGTATTAAGCAACCATTAAAATGAATAGGTAGGTTAATATAATATATACTATCACAAAAAGATGTGGAAAAAGATACTGTAAATTGTTAAGAGTGTTTTCAACTGATGAAACAAGTAATGTAAGTATTAATATAAGGAATCTTTTCATTTTATGTTATATGCATCTTTAATATTTGATACTTTTTTTCTCTCTTTTTTTTTAGTGATGGGGGTCTCACTGTTGGCCAGGCTGGAGTGCAATAGTGTGATCATCGTTCACTACAACGTCAAACTCCTGAGCTCAAGTGATCCTCCTGCTTCAGCCCCCTGAGCAGCTAAAACTACAGGCACGTGCCACCATATACTGCTAATTTTTTAAGTTTTTTGTAGGGACAGGGGATCTCACTATGTTGCCCAGGTTAGTCTTGAACTCCTGTTGTCAAGCGATCTTCCCACCTTAGCCTCCCAAAGTGCTGGGATTACAGGCAGGAGTCACCACCACACCTGCATGTTTGGTAACTTTAATAATCAGGATGAAATTGTGTCTTACATGTACAATTTAAAAATTTAACAAGGTAATGGCCAGAGAGATTATATTGAATCACTGGAAAATGCTTATAATATAAAATGATATGAAGAAATAATTTATGTCTTATTCATTAATTCATTTACCCATTACTTAAAAATATTTATGCATATCAGGTACTGGGTACTGAAGAGACAATGGTGAGTCTAGTAGGGAGATGGACACTAATGAAAAACAAAAATAATTATATTATGTAATTTTTAAAATCTTTTAATTTCTCTGAAGGAAATCATGTAGTTCTCAACCACACTAAGAACTCTGACCTATACTGTAAGAGTACTGCTGAGATTTTGAAGGGGCGACACAATCATATTCTACAAAGATCGTTCAGGGTGCATGCATGAGAGGGTAGCAAAAGTATAGGTAGGGGGATGAATTAAAAAGCATTGTAGATCTCATCAATGACAGCTGTAATTTTGGACAATTTGGTAATGGTAGAGATGGAGATAGAAATGGACAGATTCAAAAGATATCAAGAGTTAAACTGATGGAACTTAGTGACGGATTGAACATGGGTGGTAAAGGAGTAGAAGTGTACAAGAATCTCAGGTTTCTTGCTGGTGCCTGAAAGGAGGTGCTGCTCATGGGGAGATGACGTCTGGGAAGGGACTAGGTCCAGATGGCTTTTGTCTGTTTGTTGGTGGTGACAGTCAGAAGGACATGTGGGAATGGCAGCTGAAAAGTCTGGCTTTGGACAGGTCAAGTGTGAGCACCTTTGATAGGAACAAATACAGACGATTTGTAGGCAGTTGGATATTTGGGTCTAAAACTTTTGGAACACTTTGAAAACTTACGGAGAAAAGAACTTTTAAATAACAACATCAAAAAAGGAACTGTTCTGGGGAGGAGTACAATTATAAATTATAAAATCAAGTTGTGAAATATTATTTGACAAGAAAGACACTGACATAAATCCATACGCTAGGCATTATCAGTGCAATGGAAAATGTTCTACTATAGATAAAACTTTGGCTTCAGTGTGCTGTAAGAACCAGTTCTCTATTCTTGAGGAGGGGCCCTGTAATTAAAATGATGAGATATTTCCTATTTGTTTCTCTTTTCATACACATAGAAAATTCTTGGCTATATGTGCAATTGAAATCTCATATTGATAGTATCAGCTTTTCCACTTACAAAGCTGAATAAATCTAGAGCTTTGTTCATGTTAAAAAGTCTGGTCTCTTTCTACAACAAAATGTATATACACATATGTATATGTATCTGTCATATACACATATACAAATCTATATATCTGACATACATATACACATATATATCACATATATGTAATATATTTTGTGAGGCTCAGATGTCATGACGGTTGTGAAATGTTTTGAAAATATGAAATTCTGTATGAATATAAGATGCTCTCATAACACTGTTCAATTTGTACATACATACACGATAGTGTTTTGGATAAGGATAGGACAGAGGGGATTTTTTCTATATTAATCTCCTAAATAACTTCCTCGATAGAGCAAAAGTAGTATTGCTCCACTAAAAAGGAAGGGAAATTATGCTTTAATGCTGAATTAGCCAAGGTATTGGCACTGTTTACAAAGTACAAGTAAATGAATACTGACATTTCTATTCCTGAGCAAGTTCCTAATTTGTCCCTATGAGTTCACTGGGCTTTTTTTTTTTTTTGGGACAGAGTCTCATTCTGTTGCCCTGGCTAGAGTGAGTGCCTGTAGCGTCAGCCTAGCTCACAGCAACCTCTAACTCCTGGGCTCAAGTGATCCTACTGCCTCAGCCTCCCGAGTAGCTGGGACTACAGGCACGCGCCACCATGCCCGGCTAATTTTTTCTATATATTTCTAGTTGTCTGATTAATTTCTTTCTATTTTCAGTAGAGACAGGGTCTTGCTCTTGCTCAGGCTGGTCTCGAACTCCTGAGCTCAAACAATCCACCCGCCTCAGCCTCCCAGAGTGCTAGGATTACAGGCGTTGAGTCACCCGCACCCGGCCTTTACTGGGCTTTTATTAGCAACTTTTTAATGTAACAAGGATCTCTAAAGTACTTTACAGTTTTCACATACATCCATTCTATTATTTGATTCTCACAATAGTGCCAGTATTATCATTATCTCTGTCTTAAGAGAAATTATCATATTTAGAAAGTAGTTTAGAAAGAGTTATGACTTGAAACCAAGTCTTCTGATTCCATATCATGTACTGTTTATTCTCTTAAAAGTTGCCTCTTAGGTTTTTGTTGTTGTTTAATACTGGTACAAAGGTAAAATTTTTAGTCTGTAGATTTGTATTTTTGTAACTAAATTCTAGGAATTACATTTTGTTTAATATTCTTCTCAGTGGATTTTTAAAATATTTATTTAGGAACTAGAAAAAAAATGGACTCAGGCCTCTAGTTCCTCAGAAAGAGTCAATAATCTCAAGTTAAGGGTCTTGTGATTGCTGTAACCCTGGTGATTAAATTAATAAGCAACATTTCCCTGATGAATAGTTATGTTGAGCATTTTTTCCTGTACCTTTTTGCTATTTGTATGTCTTCAGGGAAATGCAAATCAAACTAAAATCAGATTATCACCTCACTCCAGTTAGAACAGCTACTATCAAAAATCCAAAGATAAGTGTTGGCGAGGATGTAGAGAAAAGGGAACCCTTACACGCTATTGGTGAGAATGTAAATGAATATAGCCATTATGAAAAACAGTATGAAGGTTCCTCAAAAAATTAAAAATACAACCATCATATCATCTAGAAACTCCACTACTGAGTATATGTCCAAAGGAAACGAAATTAGTATATCGAGGAGATACCTGCACTCCCATGTTTATTGCAGCACTATTCATAACAGCCAAAATATGGAATCAACCTAAACATCCATCAGTGGATGAATGGAAAAAGAAAATGTGGTATATGTATACAGTGGAATACTATCCAGTCACAAAAAAGAATAAAATGCTATCATTTGCAACAATATGGATAAATCTGGAGGACATTATGTTACAATAAGCAAAATAACCCAGGCACAGAAAGACAAATACCGTATCATCTTACTCATATGTGAAATTTATACAATCTACTTCTTATAGAAGTAGAGAGTAAAGTAGTAGTTACCAGAGAATAAGGAGGGCTCAGGGAGAGAGAGATGGGGAGAAATTGGTCAATAGGTACAAAGTTACAGTTAGGTAGGAGGAATAATTTCTGACATTCTATTGCATAGGAGGATGACTGGAGTTAACAATAATCTATATTTCAAAATAACTAGAAGAGAGCTTTTTGAATGTTCACATCACAAAGAAATGATAAATGTTTAAAGTGATGGATATGATCCAGTTATCTCACTACTAGGTATTTACTCAAAGGAAAAAAAGGCATTTTATAAAAAAGACACTTGCACTCAAATGTTTACAGCAACGCAATTCACAATTACAAAGATGTGGAAACAACTCAAGTCCCCATCAATACATGAGTGGATTAATAAAATGTGGTATACGTATACCATGGAGTACTACTCAGCCATTAAAGATGGTGAACTAATATCTTTTGTAACAACCTGGATGGAACCGGAGACCATCCTTCTAAATGAAGTATCACAAGAATGGAAAAACAAACACCACGTGTACTCAATACTAAATTGGAACTAATTAATTAACACTTATGTGTAAGTATGGAAGTAAAACTCAACAGAAATCAGGCAGCTAGGAGTAGGGAGGAGGAAATGGGTAAATTCACACCTAACGGGTACAATGCACACTGTCTGGGTGATGGGCACACTTATAACTTTGACTCGAACTGTGCAAAAGCAAATTATGTAACCAAAACTTTTGTACCGCTGTAATAGTCTTAAATAAAAAAATAAAAATTAAAGTGATGGATATGCTAATTACCCTGATTTGATCATTATACATGTATACATACATTGAAACATCATGTTGTATCCCATAAATATGTATAATTATTATGTGTCAGTCATAAATTTAAAAAATAAGCAACAGATAAAAAGTATAATAGCAACATAAAACCTACATCTTTTTCCTCTGAAATTGGATCAATAATAATAATATCTAAGATCTGAACATTTGGTATATGCCAGCCACTGTTCAAGGCTTTTCATATCTTTAGTAATTTAATTCTCAGGGTAATCTATGAAGTGGACATTATTCCTATAATACTCACAAAGAAACAGTGGCACAGAAACTACGATCTTTTAGGAGAGAGGTTTTTAATGAGAAACTTAAAGATCCTAGGACTTCAAGTAGAGAAGAAACAGTATTATTCAAAAGGCTGAAAATAGTTTTAAATGAAGGAAAAAAGGTTCTGAGGTTTCTCAGATTCTATCCATATATAAAGAAATTAACACATTCCATTTCCATTTGGAATGATCAATATTTCCCCACCATGCACTTAATTTACAAAACCAAACTTTAAGATGACAAAACAATCTTACAAAGATCTTATAAAATCAAAGTCCTCTGGCTTTCAATCAAGTGCTTTTGCTAGTATTGCACAATGCCTCTTTCCTTACTTTATCCACGCTATCAACCACTCATTTTTAAACAACAGTTTAAAAGTTAGGAAGGTTAACAGATTTAAATGGTCCAAACACACTTTCAAACCTGCCAACACCACCTGCTTACAGCCTGCGGAGAAACACCCTGCAGACATAAATCTGAACATGCACACGTATAAAAGCACACACAGGCACACATCCCATACTGGAAGGGACGTGCTCAAAGGTCTTCTCTACCTACAATTCTGTTTCTTGATGAGGATGGAAAGAAGCTTGATGGATCATCAATGAGGAAGAGCTCCTGCCGATGTCTGCTGAATGGGGCAGTGAAATATTCTGGATGAGGATGCCTCACATTCGCTGGGAGTTTCACAGGCCCAAGCATATAGCTTAGGGGAGTGTGCTCAGGTCGAGGAATATCACTCTCTTTAATAGGCATTTTCATTCCCAACACTTCAGCATAAGTAACTAATACCTCCCAAGGGGCATGGATCTTGACAAAATAAGTTCTTCCATCTTCAGAGTCCTACATAAAATAGGGAAAATAACAGAAAGCTTACTGATCAGTTTGTCACTGAGCTGATTAAAGGAAAGAAACACAATTTTATACAATCTAATTTTTTAGCAAAACTTTGAGAAAACAAAATTTAAAAAAAGATATATATTTATACCTATATTTACATATATATACATTTATACTTTTTATATATATTTGTGAGAGAAAGAGAAACAGAAACATACAGAGACACACAGAGACAGACAGTATTTTTAAAAATATATTTCGGGGTCAATATACACTCAGCCCTAAATTCAAGTTATATATGTGGTTCTGGGCAATCTCTAAGTTTTAGTGACTAGCTATTAGCCAAGAATTTTGTTTAGGTTATATGAGGGATACATACAAACTATAAGATGCACTCACTCTTCTTACCCAGCTTCTTTGGTATATAGCCTACACAAACAGGAAGAACTTTAGGTAATAAGGGTTCATTATGTATGAGAATATTTAAATTATAGATTGTGTGGTATAATATACATTTATTAGTTCAGTAAAAATTGGAGAAATGAAGAACTATAGATTATTAGAACTAGAAAGTATTAAAGGTTTCATAGACAGGATGGGATCTTAAATAGGTCTTCAAGAACAATTTTGAAAGAAGTTCTAGAAAAACAGTAAACGAAAAGAAGTTTTAAAGAAAATTTGGCATATTCATGAACAGAAAGATTGCCTTGAGTTAAATAGCAGATTATGCTCCAACATAGCCAGGCTAACTATTATCAGATTATGGGCAGCCTTCAAACTGAGACAGTTATGAAACAAAGACCATGTCTTGCCTTTCTTTGTATCCTGAATAGAAATGGTGTATGTCCAGTTTTAAAGTGTTCCTCTAAGCATCTCATATTCAGAGAACTGATCTACTTAGGCTGTCAGTACACAGGCCGTCAGTACACATACATATTTGTAGACTGTAAGACTACGGGCCGTCAGTACACATAATTGTAGCCAAAAGTGCTATTGTATTGCCTGCAAACATAAAATCTATCCAGTCAAAGGTCACAATAGAAGAAAACAACACTTAAAAAAGTAAGATTCTTATATAAAGTGACAACTACATTTACCCTTTTATCTTCAGTTTCCAACTCAAGACCTGTTTTTATGAGATTTTGTTCAAACTCTTTTCTTCTTTCCTGTGGCAAAACAAATCAATAGAATTATACAAGACACTTCTGTTTTATTTGCTCAGTGATAGACAGTGTCTTACTTATCTGAACAACTTTCCTTTAAACTAACATATATAAAAACACAAGAGAAATATAATTGAAGCTGAACCATCTCATTCTAGAAATAATTCTTATTCATCCATGAAATTTTAAAACCCCTCTGTCCATCTCATTAATCGCTGCATTTATGAGTTTATTTTTATGTTTGATAAGTACTTGCCAAATTTTGTAACATATTCATGATGCATTATCAATTATGCAAATGTACCATTATAAAAATAATTCAATATCAAAGAACAATTTTAAGGTTTAGAGCGTTACGGTTAAAGATAATAAAAACATTTGAATCAATATACAAATTTGTTGTTGTAATAAAGTTTTGATTGAATGAACAATAAAAGACTCCCAAGGATAAAACATTTACACTAGGAAAAAACAATCTGGGGAAAGTCAGATAGAAATTTTAGGTGAATGAGAAAAATAAATGATATAAAATGTCAACTGTTAAAAAAGGGTTTCTTCATATATTTTTTAAAAATGAATGGTGGTGGGTGTCAAATTTCCATGGTATTTACTTTCTATGGATATATGTGGAAAAGTAATTGAGCAGGACCATTTACAATATATCATAGGTTACATTCTTTACAACTATTGAAATGCACGATAAATAATTACAGATGGGGAAGACTTATAGATGGATCAGGCTTTTGGGGGAAGTTCAGAAATTCATTCTGGACCTGTAGAGTCTGAGACGTCTGTGAGATTTCCAAATAGAAACGCAGAACAGTCATTTAATTATGCACATGTGGGAGAGAAGTATGGTCTGGAAAGGTGAACTTTGGACTTAGCACACACATGGTTTTAAAATAGTGAGACAGAATGGTATCAAGGAAATCAGTGTGAACCATTAAAAGATAAGAATTAAGGACTGTGCAGTGAAGCACTACAACAATAAAGGATCTGGGAAAAGAAAAAATTGAGATGGAGAAACCAGAAAAATAAGAGAAAAACTAAGAGAATGTGGAGTTCTGGAAGCCAAGTGAAGAACATATGCAACAAAGAAGGGAATGATCAACAGTGTCAAATGTTGCTAATGGATCTAGTAAGATGAGGGCTGAGACCTAACCATTGGCTTTATACATGGAGATGAGCAGAGAGGTTGGGGTGACGGCCTGAAAGGAATGCATTTAAGAAATGACTGGGCCAAAAGGAATGTAAGAAATAGAAGTAACTGGTAGGGAAACTGGGATCAAAAGAAGGTTTTCATTCTTGCTATTTTTTTTTAATACAGAAAAATTAACAGCATATTTGTTTTTTAATACAGAAAAATTAACAGCATATTTCTTTATTGAAAGGAATAGGCCAGGAAAGAACAAAACAAAATATAATTTAGGAGAAAGAGGAAATAACTGTAGGAGCAATATCCCTAAAGAGGTGTACAGAAAAGAGTTAATACAGCAGGCATGAAACTGCTATCCTTAGAAAGGCCTGCCTGCAACTTTAGAAAGGTTGGCTCTAGTGTCTGGGACTTTGCCTTTCTGGGGGAATTCTCACCATTCCCAGAACTGGTCAGAGTGGCTCACTTTGCCTAAACTGTTTGTACAAACAGTGCAGTTTATGCTGAACATCTACTTTTCTTCTGGGAGTATGGAATTTTGTATGTGGTAGGCAAAATGTGACAAGGTAACTAGCCCCCAGTAAAAACCCAGGGCATTGAGATTTTAATGAGTTTTCCCAGGTGAAAATGCTTGTGGATGGATAGATATAGTGATAGAAATATACAGAATTTTTCTTCTACTTGCTTCAGTTTTCTCAGTGAAGCAAAAAAGTGTGGTCAGCTGGCATAAAGATGGCGGGGGGAGGTATTGGAGATATAAGGAAAGAAAAAAAGTTATAAAATAGTCATCTAGGAAGGTGGGAGACAATAGAATAGGGAAGTAAAGTATGACTGCTACACACCACAAGTGCCCAGTTGAGGTGCATGGGCACAAATGTAAGGTAAAATGTATCAGTGAACTGTATGCTTTTCCTTCTTCATGGGTGTTGGCACGTAGGAGGTGGAGAGTTGGGTTTAACTAAAGTTGTTTTGTCAGGTAAATACAATTGAGAGACGGCAAGACACTCTTGGTATATATAATAGAGTCATTACAATTGTTGACCATGGACTTACGCTGGATAAAGACAGAAAAGAGGAGAATAAGGAGGACTAAAAAGGTGGTAAGATAATCGCATCTTATCTGGTCCTGGTGAGCTTGAAAGAAGAAGGGTATGGGTCAGATCTGAGGGGTTAGTCAGATAGCTGGACACATGGAATGAGATTCTAGAGAGCTGCAGTTATTAGCAATGACAAGTTCTAGGGGAGTGAATGGCTGAGTTAGAGTAGAGGCTGAGAACATTGGAAAAGGTCGTACAAGTAACAGAGAGGCCAGAGTGCCAAAATAATCATGTATGTATGCACTGAGATTACCAATGACGAAACAAAGGAGTATTGTTGGAGAGCTGACAGTGAGCCAGGAGCTAAAATTGTTGAGAAATAAAAGGGAAGACCCAGGGACAGATAAATGACGGCACGAATACAGGCTAGTAATTAATATGCTGAAATGAAAAGCTTGGAATTTAGGGACAAGGGAGGGAGAATGGAGTGTAATCAACAACAAGATACAAAGAAGGCAATCGGTATTTCCCCCGTCTCGAGGGAAAGGCTGTGTAAAGAAAACAACCACCACTTGAGAGGGCTGTTAGGAGAAGCAACAAACCTCAATGAGGAGCCAGGTTTGAAGGGAACATTCAGAGAAGAGATGAAAATGAGGACAGTTCACGAATTTTAGAGGCCTGGAGGAAGGGTTTTCAGGGAAAGAGTGAAAGAAAGGGACAGATCTGGATATATACAGGGTCTGATGGGGACAATACCTATATTTTTTTTAATTTTTATTTTTATGACCTTACTTTGTAAGTACTTAAGTAAATGTGTGTGTGTGTATACACATATATATATTAATTTATTAAATCATTATTTTAAACATCAAATATTTATTGAGCATCCATTATGCTCCAACCACCATTCCAGGCTTTTGGTATACAGCAATGACCAAGACAAAGTTCTTGGCCTCATAAACTTAATATATGGTATTGACAGTAAACAAGTAAAGAAATGAATAAATAAGTTCATAAAGTAATAAGTATTATAATACAAATAAAATAGGATCAAGAATAAAGCACAATATAAAGGCTATATCGGATAGGATGAATTAGTCATACATTTTAAAAATGAAAATGTCATATAATAGGTAAATATTATACAGACATACACCTCAAACTTTTGATGTCACATTTAATATCTAAGGTGATTTATA